GGTGGTGGTGAAGCTGAATAATTATTTTCCTGAAAAGGAGACAGTGGGCTAAATAGGTTTAGGAACGTATGCTCTAAATAAACCCCTTCAAAGTAAGGACTACCAGCAGACTTGTAACTCCAGTGTTTAGCCCAGTGCCCGGAACAAAATAAATGCTTAATAAATATTTAAGTTATTGAATGCCAGGTGTGTTGCTTTCTTTAAAAAAAAAATCATTTTATTAGGGCTCATACAATTCTTATCACAATCTGTACATACATCAGTTGTGTAAAGCACATTTGTACATTCGTTGCCCTCATCATTCTCAAAACATTTGCTCTCCACTTAAGCCCTTGGCATCAGCTCATTTTTTCCCCTCTCTCCCTGCTCCCCCCTCCTTCATGAGCCCTTGACAATTTATAAATTATTATTTTGTCATGTCTTACATTGTCTGACATCTCCCTTCACCCACTTTTCTGTTGTCCATTCCCCAGAGAGGAGGTTATATGTAGATCCTTGTAATTGGTTCCCCTTTTCCAGCCCACCCTCCCACCGCAGGTGTGTTGCTTTCTAATGCACTATTTTGGTACACAGCTTAAGGAATCTGGGGAATAGACTTTAACATAGACTGCCTTCTTAGATATCATGGACTGTATGGCATGTCAGAATTCAACTTTCTGACAATGCTTGTGTAGTGCTTTTTTGTTGACTGAAGCAAGAGCCATACAGCTTACTCAACCTTTGCAGCAACATTAACATTCTTGCTGAATGTCAACGTTACATATCCTGCCTGAATGCTAACTTACTCTAATATACATTGATATAAGTAACCCTAATCCTAATTTCAATTGAGTGCTTAGCTGTGACTTGAGACACTTGTGGATGATTGTCTTAGAATGCTGCTTGTTCCACAAGCACTCTTTCACAAGGTCATTGCAAAGGTTACATGGAGATACGCATGTGAAGTACTTAGTGCAGTGCCTGGCATATACTTAGTCCCCACTAAATTAGCTCAACAGTAATGATCGTTTCTAGTAATACAAATTGAGAAGATTTGAAATGAAAGACTTGAGAACTGCATGCATGTTTCATGGCACATGTAAATATATTCTTATTCTGTAGTACAAGTATTAGAATATAGATTCACGTTGTTATAATCCGGAGAGAAACAAAAAAATAAAAATAAAACTTTTTCTTCATTCCTTGTTAACCCATTCCCATAGGTTCATTTTATTAACTAAATGTGTATCTTTTGTCCTTTACATTCCCCTTGTCTTATGAAAAGACTGTACTGCCGAATTAGAATTTTAATCTGCTTCTAAACTAGATATGCCTTTTTTTTTTAAAACTACTTTTATTGGGCGCTCTTACATCTCTTACCACAATCCATATATTCATCCAGTGTGTCAAGCCATCATTGTTTTCAAAGCTTTCTCTTCCCACTTGATCAGCTCCCCATTTCTTCCCCCTCCCTCACAAATCCTTGATAAATTATAGATTATTAGATTATTATTTCCGTATCTTACATCGTCCTCCGAATAACTTTTCCATTATTCGTCCCCCTTGGAGGGAGTTCTAGATTGATCCTTGTCATCAATTTCCCCTTTCTCCCCCCCCCCCCTCCTCCTGGTATCTCTGCTCTCCTGAGGCATTTATCTATCCTGGATTCCCCTGTGTTGCGGGCTCTTATCTTTTCTTTTGATTTGGTAATTACTGCTGTCCTTTGCCTGAACAAACAGTTGGGAGCAATTTCTCTAGTATGTTTCTTCTGCTTCAGCGGAGAGCTAATGTGGCTCATTAACACTAGTTAAGATTTTCCTATTTTTGTCATTTAAGCTAGTGTGCATGGCATTTTCACTTTTATAAAAGTTATTTAATGACAAAATAAATTTATAAATTGTCATGGGTTCATTAGGGAGGGGGAACAATGAGCTGATGCCAAGGGCTTAAGTGGAGAGCAAATGTTTTGAGAATGATGAGGGCAACGAATGTACAAATGTGCTTTACACAATTGATGTGTGTATGGATTGTGATAAGAGTTGTATGAGCCCCCAATAAAACGATTTTTAAAAAAAGTTACTTAAAACCCCAAAACTTCCTAACTGCATTGCAGAGCATCTGAAACATGTTTCCTAAATAGGCTTTATTACAAAATTTCTGTTTTACTGTATCCTATCTGTATTTTATATGCTCGTTTGAACACCAACCTGTAATTTCATTGTAATGTGGCATTTCTTTGGCAGTATCTTGGATTTGGAACACCATCTAATCTGGGGAAAGGCAGAAGGGCTGCAGCTGCTGCAGATCTTGCTAATCGAAGTGGGGAATCAAACACTCATCAAGACATTGAGGAAAAAGATAGGTTACTGCGTCATGTGGAAGCCAGAGATCTCATTGAATTTGGCATGATTCCCGAGTTTGTGGGACGGTTACCTGTGGTGGTTCCTTTGCATAGCCTGGACGAGAAGACGCTTGTACAAATCCTCACTGAGCCGCGCAACGCTGTTATTCCTCAATACCAGGCCTTATTCAGCATGGATAAGGTGAGATTTGTGTCTCATAATTAATTGGTGTTTCTCTTGCTATTGAAGTTTTGAACTACTTAGTATAATAAATTTCTTTTAAATTGCGTTCACCTGGAATACCAGCCTACTGGATGTAGACACTGAGGCATTGGTCTTGTTTCTTCCTACTTCACTTGGTTGTTGTGGTCTAAAGCCTGAGGGTGTAATAGATGAGGGACCTTCAAAAAGGTTATCTTTCAGTTTTTCCTTTACCTTCTTGAAGCCTTTTGTATGCATATTATGTGTAAGTTTTATTCGCTCCTACTTCTACTTCTCTGCATCCAGACCTCTGCAGGTCACTCTAGTGCACACTTTCAGTCAGCTCTCAAAAGGTAGGGCCTTGTTAACTTAGTGTCTCTAAATCAGTCTCCAGTCATTCATTGTCTGGGCCTATCCATTTGATTCTTAATTGGTCGCCCTGTCTCAAATCTATCTGATTACCACTACCAACATATCATTCTTCTACTTGGTTTCTCAACTGGATAATTTTTAAATTACTGGCAAAGTGCCCAGCAAATAAATACTAAGTTCTTAAATAACTATATATTGAATAAGTAAACATAAAGCTAATACTCTTAATCCTTTGCGTAAAATCCTTCAGATGCCCCAATTTTGTATTACCTTAGTACCAAGGGGCATTCACTGTGCTGTACATACTAGTTTGCTACTCTGTCAGCACCTCTTTATTTGAGGGCAAAAATGGTGCCGAATTTATCATCTGATCACTAATATGTAAGCACATAGAAATTCAATTTAAAAAAATCAGTAAATATAAATAAAGTCCTGGGAAGTTGATGGCAATCAAAACCTCTGAAAGTGCTAAGCGTAAAACTTATGATGCCTAATACTGATATTCTATAGGGCGATAGGAAAGGTGCCTTCTTAAAGTTCTCAGGTGCTGTGAGAATAATCACCTCACTTAAATTGCATTATTTTCTGGAGGCAGAAATTAATACCAAAAGTTATTAATACTAGACTGTTGTGAAACCTGATGTTTCAAAGCATTTTGATGTGTCTGCGGTTTTATAGTCTCAATAATTTTAGCTTTACTACTTAAAGATTAGTGATACTTTAGAGAGACTTGTCTGAAGTTGTCCCTCTGTGCTTTAGGATGAGAGGGTTACTAAGCCTCTGGAAAATTTAGATATAGGGACCCAATGAAGCTTTTCTAGCAGGAAAGTAAAAAAGTCTACATGATCCTGCAATCTTCATGGAACCGGAGTCAGTCAAGACATAGATTCTGACCCTGCATGTGTTTCCAAGGGTTACTAAGTGTCCTTAACCCTCAGTCAGTGAGTTAATTATTTCTTTATCTATAAAGTCAACGTTTTGGTCCTTTTTAGTTTTAACATTCTGTTTAACATTCAGTTAACATTTAGTTTAACATTCCCCTCCTATGAAGTCAATTCCAGTCCATAACGACCCTGTAGGACACAGCAGGATTGCATAGGGTTTCTTAGACTCTAAGTCTGTAAGGCGATAAACAGCCTCATCTTTCTCCCACAGAGTGGTTGGTGAGTTTGAACCATCGGCTTCGATGTTGCTACTGTGGTTAATAGTCCAGTGTTTTTTTGGTTTTTTTTAATAGTCCAGTGTTTAACCCACTGTGTCACCAGGCATCCTCAGTAATGGTGATAGTTAGCATTAATCAAATATCCCATGATTATAATAGGAAAATATCAAGGATTAAGCTCTCATTTGTTTTGACTATATTTATAGTGTGAACTGAATGTTACTGAGGGTGCTTTGAAAGCCATAGCCAGATTGGCGCTAGAACGAAAAACTGGCGCAAGAGGTCTTCGGTCCATAATGGTAAGTTGGCATTTGTGTACAAAAATTCAGTTAATTCCTGGCCTGAACTTGGGGATTTTTTTTTTTTTAACTTGGGGATTTTTAAGCCGCTGTTTTGCGGCTTAAAATCCAGCACAAAATCCAGAAAATTGACCTGGATTTTGTGCTGAGGGGGGCGGGGCGGTGAGGGGTTGGGGGGGTGTTTAGTTTTGGATTTGTCACAGTAATTATGTAATTTTGCTTCTTTCTAAAAAGAAACTTTAAAATGTTTTCTACTATTGGAGGCATAATACAATTAATGAAATAGAGAAAACCAATTATTGGAAGATCAATTTTAGGAAAATATTCATAGGCCTTTTGACAGTGGCTTACAGAGAGCCCCTTCTCAGCCTCTTGGAAACCCCGTTTTGTGTATTTACCTGCAAGTACGTTGCAGATGCCTTGACATTTTACCCATAATATTCTTCAGCGTGGTGTAAACACACTGATTGTCATTCTGTTACAAATCCTAAGAACACAGCCTATATTCCTGCCACTCACCACCTACTCTCCTCCTCAAAGTTCTCTTCCTTGTCCCCAGACTCGGATGTACTGTGGGCTGGTCATTGTTTGCCTACCTGCCCCAAAGCAAACACATGTTCCTGCTCCCTTTTAAGGGTTTCTGTGCTTAGACATCTTGAGATTATACTCAGTGATGAGGATCTGGACTTTGGAGTTACTGGTTGAGGACAGATTTATAAGCATGCAAACTAGAAGGGGAGGTGATATAGTTGACACTTGTAGGAAATATGAGGTACTCAACCAGTATTTCCCTTTGGGTAGAATCTAATCCAGCCGATACCTATAGGAAAAGCTCATTTTCTTAATAAACAACTTTAGATCTACTGCAGCACCTAGGGCAGGTGCTCATTTGAAGTCTCAGTGTGAAACTGAGCACCTCAGCAGAACCAACTTGGGGTTGGTTTTCAAAGTAGGGATTACCAGGTGGTCTGCTCTGTCCTAAACTGGTGACGCTTCTGCGGAACCTGCGAATCTTATGTGCCTGTTGACCAGATGAGGCGGAACTGAAGAGAAATAGCTTTGCCGTACAGAAGGACTTCTCTCAGAATTTAGTTAAAAGCCTTTTGACTGTAAAGAGGACAAGTACGTTTACATTTAACATCCATTTCCTGGTCTATAATAGGGACTCAATACTGTCTGTTGAATGAATGGATTCAGTTGGTGGCCTGTACAAGTATATTCTGTGTAACTCCAGTTTTCCATATAATTCGTTGCTTTGTGTTTTTTTAGGAAAAGCTGTTACTAGAACCCATGTTTGAAGTCCCCAATTCTGACATTGTATGTGTGGAGGTTGACAAAGAAGTAGTCGAAGGCAAAAAGGAACCGGGATATATCCGGTAAAGAATTCTTGTCACGCTGGATCAGATCTAACTCCTCCAAATCACTCCTTACTGCGTCAGCTTGTTCTGTTACCCAAATTGTATGAAAATCTTTGTAAGAGAAACGATACTCTCTTAAATTTTTACTTGGTTTTAAACAGCCTTATTTACTTAAAAGAGACAGACATCTTCTTTTTTTTTTTAAGACAGACATCTTTAAAAAGGAATTGTGGTGGACTGAATCATAATTTGACTCTGGTTGAATTTGGCCAGAAGTCAGGTTTTCCCATAAAGATCTGTCAGTTGTCCAGCAATTGACTTGAAGAAACAGATTCTACCTTACCTCCTGAATAAATAGATTTTTTTTCAAGCCTTCTCATTTGAAGTCTCATCCATTTATTTCAATATTGAATTTTTAAGGGAAAATGTGGAAAATTTTAAATCCTGGGTTATGGGGTCTCTTATTTTACCACTAAGTAATGTGAACATTTAAAAGTGTTCTTACTAGTTTTTAATTTTGTGGCTTTTCAAGATTAGTGGATTAATTTACATTTTTGAGTCTACAAATTTTATTTTTTCCTCAATTTAATTTGTTGTTAAAATACAGCAAACCCAGCTTCCATTCTATAATTTCTAAACCTCATGATCGTGATAGTGGCTGAATTCCTCATTGTGTCCACATTCTTGTTCTGGTTCAGTTGTTTCACTTCTTCTGTTCACTTTGTCTCCCTGCCCCCAGCCCGCTCATCCGTTCTGTGAAGTAGCTGTCGTCTCTTTGGTCTAATATAGGTTTGTCTTGTCATCCTCCGTTTTTATTGCACAGAACTAACTGGTGGCTTTGTCCTGCAGGGCTCCAGCAAAGGAGGCCTCTGACGAGGACTATGACTCGGGAGTGGAGGAAGAAGGATGGCCCCGCCAAGCCGATGCTGCAAACAGCTGAGCTGCCAGACTCCTCTCCTGTATATAAAGCTTGCCTCCTTTGGTTCGGGATCCTGACTGTCTCTGTAGTCTGACATTAAAGGAATTGGATCTGTCTTCGATATCATACATGGTCAGAAGCCTTTAGGATAAGAATCAGATCATGTATTATATTGTAACATCACATTGATTTATACACAGAGGACATTATGTGGACTTTAATAATACAATGTTCAGAGATAAAAATGTACAGTATCTTGGTTCTGTTTTTTTGAAAATACACTTTCACAAAATTCCTAGGAATTCTTTTAAGCAGCACAGGTGTTGCAATAACTGGATTTTACAATAATGTTACTCTACAAATGGGAAAATAAATTCTTTAAAATTGAAGATTGAGGTCCTGTTCTTTAACCTTTTTCCACCCACATTTGTGACCTTAAAATAAAATAATTTTATTAATTAAAAATATCAGAACATGTCATTTTCAAATAGGTAAAATTTCGTGGAGAAAGAACCCTGAAGAACCATACTGTGCTTTACTTTTAGTTTGATTTCCGTCTTCTCTGCTAGTGCATGACGCCAGCTTCCCAGTCAGAGCTGTGAAAGAGGCCTCTGTCTTCCCGATCCAGACGCATATCTCCATAGAGACATACACATAGAGGTACCTATCTAGATCAGGTATCTAGATAGATGGATGTATCAGACATATCAGGTACCTAAATTCATATCTATATAGATAAATAGATCTTTGATCTATATTAGCATCAGTGAATAGATGAATTTGAAGTCTGGCTTAAAATCTTCAGAAAAAGACTATACATCGAATTTTCTAAATAGCATGCAGTATCATTCTAGTAACAGCCATGAGCTGAACTAAAGGGAATATCCTAAATTTGTGTATTACCAAAAAACACTGAGCTAGTATGCATCTGGTTTTTTTTGTTTGTTTTTTGATCCTGGATATTTGTCTAATTTTTTGGTTTCATAGAACATTAAAGAAAAATCTGTTGTGCTATCAACAGAAGTAAATGTTTACACAAAAATGTAAGCTACTAACCTTAACTATATAGCAAAACTAAAATTTAGGGGGTATATAATATGGGGATTTAAAAAATGAAAATTATATCATTTGATCCATAAACATTAAAATATTTGGGTACCTTAATTTTTTTTTCTTTCCATAATGTTATGTTTCTATTAATCTAGTTCAGCCTCATTTGAAATAGTTAAATCTGAGTGCATTTACATATTTGTTTTCATATTGGCTCTTGAGTTCCCTTTTTCTTAAGAAAAGAACTTTAAACTATTAGCAAACTTTAATCCTGTTAATGAGGAGTTAGGCTTTCTTTGGTGCAACAAAAGGGATGGGAGACGATACAAGAACTTTGCAGTGTATGTAAGCCTGGTAACTGTAGTATGAGACAGAAACAAGTATCCTTAGCCACCCTCAAAACCCAAACTTAACTGCTGTCGAGTCAAATGGTAACTCAGATCGACCCTGTAGGACAGAGCAGACCTGCCCCATGGGGTTTCCAAGGCTGTAGATCTTTATACAGCTTTTTCTCATCGACTGGCTGGTGGATTTGATTGCTGACCTGTTAGCAACCTCTGCCACACCAAAGCTACTTGTGTCTCCACAGCAGTGGTTAAAGTTCTTTTTAAGAAGTCTCTGAGATTATAACTTTGCTCATTATCTTTCTCTTATAACATTATTTTCCTTTTTGTAGAGTGAAACTTTGAGTTGCTTCTAAAAGAATAATTTTCCAGAAATGAACTGGGAGACATTTTAGTCACAGCAACTTAAAATTTGTTTTGGAAGTTGTTAACAAAGCATAATCTATGTTTTTAAGTAAAAAACAGTTGACTATAGGTAAAGTTTGTATCTGGATGCTGGTGTTTTGGCATTTGAATAACAGAGGAGGACTCAGTGGAAGTGTGCGGGCTGGCATGTCCATAATGCAGGGCTGCAGGGGCACTCGGCCAGCAGGACCGCTTTCGAGGGCACAGGTGTCTGTCAGATGAGCTGCTGTAGTCCAGGGATGGGTTCAATCTTAGCACTTTTGTGTCCATCTAGTACGTTCTCCTAGGTTATAGATCCACAAACAAGAAGTATTCTTGTTAAACTATGCAAACTATTTGTTGACAATCCTTACTGAAATGTTCCACTTACAACCCAACTCTAGGGAACACAGAGTGAACTTTTTAAGAACTGTAGGAGCCTAGCAGGGAAATCAACCGTGAACATCAGTGCATTGTGATAATGGAGCTGAGATGTACCAGGAGTCGAGGCACCAGCTGGTGGCACAGATAGGTCTGGAAGAACTAGCCTGAATTTGCCAGGAAAGAATACTGAGAATTAAATTGAAATCTGAAGAGTGTGAAACAGCTGAGGGCGGTTCAGGAGTTGAGAAGAAGGAAACAACTACAACGTCCTATTTCTGTTATGAAATGATCATTTAATATGAGGGGCTTCAGAATTTTTCATGGAACACACAGGACTAAGTTCATGGAATTTTCCACGGATGTTTTGAAGCCCTCTTGTGAATTCTCCCCACCCAATAGAAGACCTTGTTTCGTATTTTATTGAGAAACCATTAGATGGAATCATCTTCCAACGATCAGATCTAGAAATCTGCCTCAGCACCCACACTTTCTTGTACCTGTCAGTACTAGAAGGTCCCTCTTGCCAAAACTCATTCCCAGGATCTTACTGTCCCCTCTCATCATCCTGAATACCAATTAGGCAGTAATCCCTGTGCCTTCCTCCTAGCCCTTGATCATTGTGAATCTTTGTTTCTATATTTGCCTGTTCTAGATACTTCATATAGATGGAGTCTTAGATCTTATAATATTTGTCATTTTGTGACTTATTTCACTTCATAATAGTTTCAGAGTTGACCCTATGTCATAGCATGTATTAGCACCACACTGCTTTGTGTAGCGTGATATTCCATTGTGTATGTTGTATGCTGTTGAACTGATTCCAGCTCATAGCAACCCTCTAGGACAGTGTTGAGCTGCCCCCCTAGGATTTCCACGTCTGTAAATCTTAAGAGAATCAGACTGACTTACCTTTCTCCCAAGGAATGGCTGGTGGGTTTGAACCCCTGAGCAGCCAAGCCCTAACCATTGGGTTACCGCAGCTCCTATTACATATGTGGGGTTTCACAAAATGTGTAGAAATTTTTCATTATCTTTTCCATGTTTTCAGAAACATTTTAAAGTCCCCGGTATATACCATATTTTGTGTATCCATCTGTTGATAGGCTCTTGGGTCGATTCCACCTTTTTGATTATTATGAGTCACGCCGTAATGACCACTAGAGTCTTTAAGTAGTTAGTCCTTGCTTTCAGTTTTTTTTGCATGTGACTTGCATATCATACAATTCAATTGTTCATTCACTTCCTGAAGAGTTGTACAGTCATCACCACAATCAGTTTTAGAACTTTCTCTTCATCCTGCTTCCCGTTCTTTTGGATCTGTAACTAGGGGTGGAGCTGCTGACTGAAATGGTGCTTCTGTATTTAATTTTCTGAGGACCCAACAAACTTCTCTTCAGTGGCTGCACCATTTTTCAAGTGGACCAGCCGTGCGGGGAGCATTCTGTCTTCTCCATATCCTCACCAACACTTGTTAGTTCCACGTGGGAGTCAAGTAGTAGCTGGACCTGATGTGCATTTCCCCACAGTTGTAGTTTCAGTAAGTGAATGTATAATAGAGTGACGCAGAGCAAGTACTTTGTACATGCCCATTATTGCTTGTTTATCATATGAGGTGTGACTTAATTCCAGGTCCTTTTTTTGTGGGGTGGAGGAGCAATGGAGCACCAATTGTGCCAGCATCACATGCTAAAGTTTCTGAATTTCAAAGTACTGTTACTCTTGGAGCAAAGTAAATCTGGATGAATATGTTCCATTTCATGCTCCATTCATTCAACGTTTATTAAAAACGATGTGTGTGACCTGATGGTGCAATGATTAAGCACTCAACTCATAACTGAAAGGTCATTTTGAACCCACTAGCTGCTCCACAGGAAAAAGCCTGCTGTAAAGATTTACTACAGTCTAGAAGCCTTAGGGGGAGTTTTGTACAGGATTGATAGGAGCCAATCAACGCCATGGCAACAAGTTCTTGGTTATACCTTTACCTAAGCCTCACACCTTAATGTAAAAATGAAAAATTAGCTTAGTTTGAATTATAGGTTTAAATGTAAACCTACAAAGCTAAGAAAACCATGAGGAAGTCTTCCTGATCGAGGACTAGGCAGAGCTCTTAGACACCAAAAGTATGATTCATAAAAGAAAAAATTAAGTAGATCTATGTGCCTATATTTATAGGTTTAGTATTAAGGTAGCAGAAGGACATTGGGCCTCCACTCAAGTACTCCCTCGATGCAAGAATACTTTCTTCTATTAAATTGGCATTCTATGATACTCACCTTCCCGACAACTGCTAAAGACAAAGCGGGTGAATAAGCAAATGTGAAGAAAGCTGATGGTGCCCGGCTATCAAAAGATACAGCGCCTGGGGTCTTAAAAGCTTGAAGGTAAGCAAGTAGCCATCTAGCTCAGAAGCAACAAAGCCCACATGGAAGAACATAACAGCCTGTGTGATCACGAGGTGTCGAAGGGAATCACTGAAGACAAATGGGTGCATAAGCAAATGTGGCAAAGAAAGCTGATGGTGCCCGGCTATCAAAAAGTATAGCGCCTGGGGTCTTAAAGGCTTGAAGGTAATCAAGCGGCCATCAAGCTCAGAAGCAACAAGCCCACATGGAAGAAGCACACCAGCCTATGCGATCACGAGGTGTCGAAGGGATCAGGTATAAGGAATCATCAGAACAGAAAATCTTACCATAGTGAATGATGGGGGGAGTGCGGAGCAGAGACCCAAAGCCCATTAGTAGACCACTGGATATCCCCTTGCAGAGGGGTCTCGGGGAGGAGACAAGCCAGTCGGTGCGATGTAGCAACGATGAAAAATACAACTTTCCTCTAGGTCTTAAATGCTTCCTCCCTGCCCCCACTATCATGATCCGAATTCTACCTTGCAAGTCTGGCTAGACCAGAGGATGCACACTGGTACAGATAGGAACTGGAAATACAGGGAATCTAGGGCGGATGATCCCTTCAGGACCAGTGGTTTGAGTGGCGATAATGGGAGGGTAGAGGGAGAGTGGGTTGGAAAGAGGGAACCGATTACAAGGAACTATATGTGACCTCCCTGGGGGACGGACAACCAAAAAGTGGGTGAAGGGAGACGTCGGACAGGGCAAGATATGACAAAATAACAATTTATAAATTATCAAGGGCTCATGAGGGAGGGGAAAAATGAGGGCCAAATGCTGGGGGCTTAAGTGAAGAGGAAATGTTTTGAGAATGATGAAGGCAATGGATGTACAAATGTGCTTTACACAATTGATGTATGTATTATGGATTGTGATAAGAGTTGTATGAGCCCCTAATAAAATGATTTTTTTTAAAAAGGAAAAATTGACAAACGAATTCATAAAATTGAGGATTTTTACTCAAAAAGTCTAAATAATAGGATGAAAGTCAAGGAGAGAATATTTGTAAACCATATACCAAAGGCCTACTATGTTAGCCGGGGTTCTCTAGAGAAAACTAGGACATTTATTATTTTATATATATTATCTATATATATACATGAATGATAGGTTTATACTGTGAGAAGGAATATAACAGCTAATTGACCAGCCTCAAGCTCAAGCAATGTACGCACCAGCAGCATGGCGAAGCAGGTCTCGAAGGAGCCTCAAGCTCTAGCTACATGATCCACAGATTGGGGTAGTCCACAGGTACTGTAGCACACAGGTTGAGGCAGAGAGCAAGTCCGATCACAAGGGAGCAAGCAGGAATGGGATGCTGGCTGTCTCTATTTCTGTCATACTTCAATCAAGCTACGACCTGACTAGGCTCCAACCACCTGTTCCTATTGTCCTAGTTGGCGCAATAAACCTAACAACTATATGAGTATAAAGAACTCTCAAAACAACAGGGTTTTTTTTTTTGAGGGCAAAAGACATTTCACTGAAGATATATGTGGGCAAGTCAGAAAGGATTGGTACAAAATCACACTTTTACTAAACAAAAATAGGAAAATAATGAGGCTATAGTTTGTTGCTATGCCCTCCATTAAGGTGCATGTACTTTGGAAGGCAGTGTTCTCATTTCTCGAATCCTTTGGGGCTCTCAGCATTTCAGTTTATATCCTGCCAAAATAGCAGTTTGAGCATCCTTCAGGTCTTCAAATTGTTCCTTTTTAATAATCAGAGTTTTCAGAAGAAAAGGTGAATAGGAAATATCAGGGCTGGAGGATAGATAGGGAGGGTAAGGTTTCCCAGTGAAATTCTCACAGGACAGCTTTTTTTACCCTCAAAGAAGCCAGGTACATTGACATGATGGGAAAAAACATTTTCTCACCAATGTGGTTTTCCATTTTTGACAAATTTATTCATAATAAGTCTCCATGATTTTCCTATGTTCTAGAAAAGCTGTCAATATTACCCCTTTGGAACCCCAAGAAAGACTTGCCGTAACCTGAACTGACCTCTGCCTTGAATTTAACTTGCCCAGCAGATAGCCTCAAGAAACCACTGCTTTGATTGGACCTTTTTTTGAAGGCACCCAAGGAGACAGACAAGTGAAGTGAGTGTCGTTGTAAGAGCTCAATAAGGGATTTTCATCACAAGACAGGCACAAAGGAAAAAGCAAGAGTTTCCAATATCAATGTTCAAGGAGATCAAGGGGACCAAGTTCAACAAAAGAACTGCCACTCTGAGCAACAGTGTAAGAGTTATTTTATAGGTTTCTTTTAGATCAAGAAAGAAAGCAATTGGGAAAGCTCATAACCTGCGGAGGGGTCTTCTGGAGCAATCAAGTTTCTGTGGTCAAACCTTAAACAGGCTGTTTCTCAGATTGTTCTCTGCTTGGAGGCGCTCATTGATATTTCAGCTGCAGGTATTGTGAGTTTTAACAGACTCCTTCCCAGGTCAATGGGTTAATTTTTCACTTACAAAGGGAAACAAAGGTTTGTCAATTGATCATGAATTGAAGCAATTACATGATTAAAACAAAAGTGAGCAACGTTCATGAAGCCCCAGTAGTTCATTGAGCCCAATGGGACAGCAGGACCTTGGCAGTCAAGAAAATGTACTGCATCTTGGCTACAACGTCGATATTGTTATATTGCACTCGTTTCGCAAGATTTTAGTATTGGGGGGATGACTAGGTAAAAGAATCATGACTGCATACGAATCAGTATCTTTTAAAAGTTAAAAAATTTAAAAACTAATCATGCATTCTGGCCTCTCCTCCCCTTCCTGTGTGAAAACCCTTCAGTATTCTCCTTTTGTAGGATGGGTATCTGAACGCTGTACCCTTTGTGCACCTCCCCAGGATAAACTCGGGCTTCTCTACTCCATCCATACAGGTGTTATCCACCCAGCCCTCCCCCCACTACTAGGCATACTTCCTAGCCCTTAACAGTAGTCTCCTACTTGCCCGTCAAAGCTAAGCTGAAGTCTCAAATCCTCAGGGCAACTTTGCCCATAAGCTCTGTTGCCTCGTTTCTTTTTGGTGCTTTTAGTCACAGCTGCACATGTACAAATGTTTGGTTATTTGATTAATGTATTTTCTTTACTAGACAGTGAACTCCACAAGGAGAAAAACTTTCTTAGCCTTCATTGTTCTCCGAGCGCCGTACTGGTGTGCTTACTAAACACAGTAAAGAAGGCTAACCTTAAAGGTCAGCAGTTCAAACCCATCAGCAGGAGAAAGATGAGGTTCTATCTGCTACTGTAAAGCTTTGCTGCCTTGGAAGTACTGCATACGATCACCTACCAGTGGGAATCGACTTGAGTTTCACTGGAGGGTTAGCACGGAAAGATTAAATGGAAACCCGACTACCAGCAAGCTTGGGGGCGGGGCGCGTGGTGATAACGTCACTTCCGGCCGCAAGACTCCCCAGAAACCGCTCTGGTTCCTGTCATTGAGCTCTTCCGTGGTGACCATGGCTCTGCCGCCCTTCTACGCTCCGGGTCGTCCGGGCCCGCCGCCTCCCGCTCCCTTCGGCTGTCCTCCGCCACCGCTGCCCTCCTCAGCTTTCCCACCGCCTCTTCCTCAGCGGCCCGGCCCCTTTTCGGGGTCCTCCGCCCCCTTCCTCCAGCCCCCGATGCCTCTGGAGACCCGGGCCCCCGGGGAAGCCCCCCGAGGCGGGGGCGGA